TTACAGACAAACCTGTCTGTGAGTCAAAAGACAAACAGTCAGTCAGACAGGTCAGACAGAGGTCAATATCACAAAATACAGCCTTGGCCTTCTGCCTGTCTGCAAATGTCAGTGGAACACAAACTCTCCCTGCCTCCCCGGCTTCAGCCACAGGCTGCTGGCTGATTTTCTAGTCTCTTATCTGATGCCCTCCCCCCACCCCCTGCCTTCTGCCACCATCTTGGCTTGCTGGGAGTCCTAGGCTCTCTTAGATGGCTTCAGCTGCTTGGAACATCCCTCATGTTCAAACGCAGATACCAGTTCAGCAGACCAAGTTCAGATCCCTCTGTAGGAACAACCAAACTTGTAAGCCCTGTGGGGAAGGAGATGCAAACCACAGCACAGGCCCTGTTAACACTGCCTGCCATCGGTTGCTATCCGTGAACCAAAAGTCAAGGTGATCCAGTTTTGTCTCTGACCTTTTGCCACAACATTGGCACCTAACAAAATACCAATGTGTGTGTAAAGAAAGCATGCAATGAACAAGGTGAATGCAGGGAAACGAGGGGCCCCACAGAGAAGCCCCCGTGACAGAAAGGAATTACAGTAGCAGCTTGAGATAGTGTCCCTGGTGGAAGCCCAACATGGTACAGACTGTGTTTTATGGCTCTGAAAGATATTTTGCAAATGGGACTCCAGGAGTACAACTGGTTTCAGGTGATGGCCGAACATGGGCTTCTGATCAAAGTCTGTGAACTGAGTGTGTGGTCTGTGCATGTGCTGAAAGATGTGGTGGGCATATTGAGTGTGAGGGAGTACTGAGTCTGGTGGCAGTACTGAGTGTGATGGGGTACTGGCCTGGTGGGAATACTGAGTGTAATGGAGTTTGGTAGGAGTATTGAGTGAGTATGATGGGAGTACTGAGTGTGATGGGGTACTGACTATGGTGGGAGTACTGAATGGGATGAGGTACTGAGTATGAGGAAGTACTGAGGAAGACAGAATCTGTTGACTATTACAGGCAGGCTTCTACACATCACAGGTTTGCTGAGTGAGTTAGTACTGTGTTTTCAGAGTTTCCTGGCTCTCCCTTCCTCTGAGTGGTTAGTGACGATGGAGTAGACACAGTGGACAGTCCCTCTTCAGCAGAGCACACAGTATGGGTCCTCAGGCAGGGGGAGCCTGACCTTAGGGCCCTACCTAGCAGGAGCTTGACACGTTAGACTTTCCCCACCCTGCAGCCCCCATGGCTGGTACAGGCGCTTTGCTCTCTCAGATGTCAGGCCTGTCCTGTCCACAGGCACAGGTCTGGGGTCATGTGACTGCTCTCTGAACACCCTGCCTGGGGTGACTTTCCTCTGTGGCGGGATGTATGGCTCAGACTGATCCTGCTCTGTGTCACTCACTCACTCCCAGAGTTCGGGAACTTTTTGTTTAAGGGTAGAATTGGGGAGAGGGGCAAGTAGACTTTATTTTTCAGATTTGGTGGTGATTAGAAGGAAAGCTGGTCCTGGTGACACCTCCCAGTGGCCTAAGCCTGAACTTCCTGTCTCATCAACAAAGAGGAGAAACATCCCTCCTTCACAGCACAGAACTATCGACAATGGAAACATGGCAAATTTGTTTCTCTGGACAAAGTCCATGAGCAATCAAGCTGCAGTCAGGAGCTTCCTACTGAAGATGACATTTTTAAAATTTCTTAGTCTTCTTTCTGAGGAGCCCAGGGAAATTTCTTAGTCTTCTTTCTGAGGAGCCCAGGGAGGCCATTTCTCCAGAAGGAGCCCTGGAGGTCACACCCACCCTTAGGGCCTTCCTGTGAATGAAGCCCGGAGGCCATCCGTGACCTCACTAGCCTTAGATCTTAGGCACTTAATTGCCCCAGTGTGTTGAGAGATAGGCTGGCTAAACCATACTTTAGACAGCAGTCATTTGGCACCCAGTACCAGAGCAAAGTCCCCGTGTGCTTCGCCCCTGCAAGGACCTCAAGGTGGGCTCTAGGGTCTGGAGGGAGGTATATAGAGGGCTGAGACTCCACAAAAACACTACCACCTTGTAATGGCTGAGGGAGACTGGAGAGCCTTGTGTGACTGAAGTGGGGGCTGTCTAGGATGCATAGAGAGATTTCTGAGTCCTATGGACAAGTGCTGTTTCCCAGCCAGGGCTGGACCCGACACACAGACAGCAGCAGTCTCCCTTCTTAATAAGACTAAGAAAGTTCATCCTAATGTCTCAGTCTCCTGTGAATGTGTATGGGATATCACAGGCAAATCCAACCTGTCAGGTGACTGATCCGTTACAGAGAAGCCTGAAAGGCAATGATCAACCTTGGTAGTGGCCTGGCCTCGGCCCTCTGTGAGAAACAAAGGCTGCAGAGGGGTGTGTTAGAGCTGGAGACATCAGGGGCCTGGCTTTAGACCTCTAAAAGTCTTTAGTCCATGGGAGGGCAGACAGGCGGACACAGTGAGTTGGAGCTGGGGATGGCTCAGTCCACCTACTGACCTGGAAGTGCTTTTCTCTAGGTCCTGCTACTTTGAGAAGTCAAATGGTTCTAATCTCAGTGGCTAACCCTGTGTGTGACCCTGTCCCTAGTGAATCAGGGGCCTCCTGGGATCTGAGGGTAGCAGAACACCTGGATATTAAACCTCATCTGAGGAGCACGGGGTGCAGCGGCACAGGGTGTGTAGTTGATGGTGAGGCTGCTCTTGCAGTTCAAAAGGGGAAGAGTTGAGAGTGGGACTGCATATCCATCACTGTTTCCTCAGAGCCTGGGTGCAGCAGAAGTCGTCGGCAGGGCAGTGAGCGAAAGATTAATGTTCGTTCATGTTCAAGGACAGCGGGTTTCCCTCTCAGCTGTGGGTCTTCTTGTCTCTCAAATATCAGCAAAGGAGTGAATTTGGCACAAGGAGAGGAGGGTGGGTGAAAGGTAGGAGAACCGGGTAGAAGGCTTTCTGGAGCCACTGGTGGATGAACCAAACCCTGTGCCCTCAACCCCTTCCTCCTCTGCACTGAGACATGTATGTGCAGGCACATGTAGACAGACACACACATTCACACAGACACATACACATAGAGACACACATACATATACACATGTACACACAGATGAATACAAACAGACACATACAGATACACACACACAGACACATAGATATACACACATGCACACAGATACATACATAAACATACACATACATGCACACAGATGAATACACGCAGACACACACAGAAACACACAGATATACACACAGAAACACACACACACACATAGACACACACAAACGCTTGGATACAGACACACATGCACATACGCATGCACACAGATATACAGACATAGATACACAAATACACAATACACACACAGACAAACACATACATGCACATACATGCACACACAGGTGCATATACACAGACTCACACACACACACAGATGCATATACACAGACTCACACAGACACACATGCACACACAGACACACACAGACACACACAGGCACACACAGACACACAGACACACACCCAAACTTAGGTATTGTTCTTCACTAACATGTCTGAAGAAACAGAGGGGCTAGGTGACCACCCCTTCAGATCACCTCTACTTTGGTGGAGTCTTTAGCCTCTACTAAGTCAACTCTAGGCCACTTTGCTTGTATAAGCCCCTGTTGACACTTCCTGGACTGGGCTGTCCTGCAGAACAAGTCTCCAGGGCTGTTTGGAACACTGGGCATAGAATACTTCAAGATAGGTACACAGACACTTTTAACTCATTTGTTCCTTCTGCCAGAACCCAGAGCACATTGTTCTGTGTCCTTAACGTTAGCTCTACCTCACATTTCCTGGTGGACTGTGAGGATGGGTGTCTTCAGCTCCCCAGAGGCAGTGTGCCATGGTGACTAACACACAGTAGGTGATCAATAAAGAGAGGGGGAGTGAGTTCAGATGCTCAGCTCCTATACAACCTTTAGGGAAAGCTGGAAACATTTGAAAACAGGCTGTGCACAGGTGAGGGCTGGGTAGAGAGAAATGGCCAGTACACTGGGTTGGTGCCCACATTGTGATCTGAGTCCTGTTTTCACTCTGTTTCCCAAAGTTGACCTACAAGCTCCTCTTGGGAAGTGCAATGGCTTATTGGGCCACAGAGGTGGTCTAGTCAATGCCAGCTATAAGCTAACCCCCTGGGGGTATGATAAAAGTACCATCTGGTTTACTCAAAGTCACATGACTGAGTCCGCAATGTCCTTACACAGCCCCAGGACTACCGCCCTGTCCAGGCGCAGACTATCCAGGGATGGAGTGAGGAATGGTCCCCGCTTTATCCTAAAAGCTCTGGAGATCCAGACTACTTAAAGCCAGGTAGATGCATTTATTTTGGTTTCCCAGAAGTCATAACGAGAAGCTAAAATGCCTGGTGTATCAATCCGGCACAAACCTGTCTTATAGAAACACATTTCTTTGCTCCCCTGAATGCCTCATTGGCTGAGTTCTTCAAGCAGGAACAATCTTTTCTGCATTTCCAACAAAGCCCTCACCTCCGAAGCCCCCATTCTCCTGGGACTTGGAATTCCTTTCACACAGCTGATTATAAAAGAGTTACAATCTAACGCTAAGACAAACAAAAATGTGCCGAGGGAAGCAGGTGCCAGTAATTGACTCGGAAGACAGGGGTCTAGTATCTCCTACTTAGGTGATTCTTTGATGATGCTGAAAATGGACCATAACAATTTAATTTTTACAGCTGTTTGAGAGCACATGGGGTGTGCCCGTCTCATCTGAGGGCTCTGACATCACCTGTGGGGCGATGCACACCCTCCGCAGATGACATCCAGATGTGAAGGCCAGCCCCTCCCACAGCCTCCTGCTGTGAGGGCAGAACTCCTGCCCTCTCTTGTGAGTCACAATCCTGCCTACTCTCAAAGCTCAGCATTAGCTTGACTTTCCTCAGCTGAGTGAGTGCTAGTGTCTCCGTGCTGTCTCTGCCATCTCAGCCTTGGGACCCTGCTAGGCAGTACAAAGAGGGACAGATCAAATGGGATGGGCAGGTATGGCCAGGTATGTGTTTGCTTGCCTTAGAGGAGGCAGTTGATGACTTAAGTCTTGCTGGCCATCCAAGCACAACCACCAAACCACAGGTCCAGGCTGGGAAGAGGGTTCTGGCTTGGTTTCATGTCAGGCCACTTCCATATCTAAGGTACAGAATTCAGGAGACGTTTGCTAACTGACAGAGCTGTCTACCAGAATTCACCTGGGTGCCAGGAGGGACTGGTGTTTCTCTATAGATCATGGTTAACAGCCTAACCAAAAGGTGTTTCCCACTCAGCTGCCCCAAGTGGATGACCCAGAGCCTTCAGGAAGGAGAGCAGGGCAGAGGAGGCCCAGGCTGCACAAGCTGTGAGTCCACTTCAGAGTTTCTGTACCTGGATTGGTGTGTTCTTTCCTGGCATCTGGGTAAATCGCTGGTCTGTGGTGTGGACAGATGCCTTCAACAGTCAGGGTGAACACAGATCATGAACTCAGGTGACCCATAAAAAACGAGGCAATTCCTATGACTTGGTTTGTGTATGATGGTTAGAAGGAGGCCAGACATGTGACCTAAAACATCATCCTGGCTAATTCCCCACAGACCAGTGCAGAAGGGGACTGCTCACCCTCACTGGCTGTCTCAGTTTATTTTCCAGAGTTCTTCCTAAGAAAACTTACTTTTAAAATATTGTTTCCTTAAGAACATTTTTCTTCGTAAAATTAGATGATCTTAGAGGATAGACTAGCATACAGGTACATCAAACACAGAAAGGCATGTGCCTATGTAAGGTCAGTTGCTCAGAAGGGAGCTTGATGCGTCACACTTAAGAGTCACTGTATGTGGGTATGTGCACACAGTATGTGTACACAGACATGTGCACCTATATACAGTGAATATGCAATACAATGTGTTTTGCAGGTGCATATATTTATAATATATCAATATGTAAATATGAATATTAACTTCCTATGTTTTTCAAGCCAGGTACTGTTTTTTTCCTTGTCAGTTTTATGTGTATGGGTGTTTTGCCCATACGTATGTTTGTGTATCATGTACACGTCTAGTACCCTTGAGGCCAGAAGTGTGTTTTGGATCCCCTGGAACTGGAGTTACAGACTGACATGGGTGCTGGGAATCAAACCCTGAAACTCTGGAAGAGCAGCAAATGGTCTTAACCACTGAGCATCTCACCAGCTGTAGACACTGCTTTTTAGTACAAGCCTTTATAACTGGCCTTAACAACGTTGGGTAGTTCTCTTCTCTGTCTCTGGAGCCTGCCCCCAAATCTTCCTCATGACTGGATCCATAGCTCTGATCATGACCAGCCAGGAAGCACCTCACAGACAGGCTTTGCTACTTTCTCATACAAAAACAAGTGTTGCCCAACAATGATTTCCCAATGCAACCTGGAAAAACCACAACAGTTGTGAACAGTGCATTAAAATTTTTTCCTGGAAACAGCATTGGCATTCCAAGATTAAAGAAGCCCTGTGCCAGGTAGCGACAGGAAGCAAGAAGATCACAAAGCTAGGTAAGTAGACATGGGATGACATCTATCTAGCACAGGGACAGAGGACCAGCTTTGTGGGTGTGTGCATGTTTTGGAAGCAAGGTTCAAACTCCTTTGAGCTCTTCAAGAATAACTTAATACTATTTGGCTTTGCTTGTGGGCACAGAGCAATCAATTACAAGAACGCGAAGGACACACCAGCTCAATGACCACTTGTGTGTACCTTGTCTGAGTGCTGCCGACATACTTGAAGGTGTTCCTCAGCTGTCAGATCTTGGCTTCTAATTGCTGGTTATTAGACCTCGGTGAGCTGCCTGTTTCACTGAACTGACAAGCTATGGAAGTCACAGAACCAGGCTTTACCTTCCAGATGGCAGATAATCTTCCCCTGGGGGTATTTGTGGATCAGAGCTGCTATGGGTAGTGGGGTTAACTTTGCTACCCTGGTGGGGATGGATTTATATGTGTGTTTTCTGACCTAATTGGGTTTTGGTGCCTGTTCTGTCTACAGTCATGTTGAGTTTGTTTGATTGACTTCTGAATTTGCTTGGCTGTTTTGTTTGTATCTGTTTCTTCCCCTGGAACTTGGCCCATGAGCACTGGCTGCTGGCCACCTTGTCAGTGGTCAGCTCCAGCTTTGCAATAACCCCTGGTGGAGGACGGCCCCCGGAAGTATCTGTGTCTAGATGCAGAGGAAGAGCTGTGTGTCTACAGCACTGGAGACATTTCAAAAACAAAAGGTGTGTAGGCACAGGTGTATCCTTAAACAGGGCCTGGTGTCATTCTTTAGAGTGTGGAGGTGGGGTAGCAAGCGACTCCCTGAGCTCTGGTTAGCCGAGCACTGCTACAGCAGCAAGGAAAGTCAGGTAGGACTGAACCCCAGACCCCAATCTGGCCTCTGTACAGGGTGGCAGTACCTTAGCTGGACTGGATGCCATGGTCATTGGCAATGCAGGCTGCACAGTCAAGAGTCACTGGTACATCAGGCCACTCAGATGTCAACAGTAGAAGTGTGTTCTAGAACCTCTGAAAGACAGCAAGAGCCAGATTCCCAGGTGATCTCAACCTCTCCAGACCTGGAGCTCCTCGAGATTCATCAGTAGTTGGAGGGTGAGGGCAGTTTCTACTGTCGTAAGACGGGCTCTCTGGAAAGTAGTGGAAAATCGCCGAAGAATGGCTTTTTACTTTTACTGTAATGGCTCCAGCTGTGCCTCACTGAGGAGGTGCACCATGTTCAGCAAGCTCTCCGTTCACTCAGGAGGCCATTTGCTTAGCTAGGCTTTTGCAGCTACACTTTGTGGGGTTGGCAGTCAGCTCTGAGGTGGCTAGCACACAATACTAAGAGGAAACACCTTTCCAAGCTGCAGTTGCATGGATATAAATTGCTAAGGGTATGGGGGGGGCACAGAGTACACCTATTCCTAGAGCATAAGAATTCCAGAATTCCTAAAGGGAATGGTGACCCCATTCTCTGAGTATGCATGTTTCATTTTCCTGCAGAAAATGAATAGAACCAATGACTATTCATTTGGTGCTGATTTTAGATTTCATATGTAAGTGCCGAGAAAACTAACAGTAGCTTGTTCTCGTGAGCACTTTCCCTCAAAGAGCAAGCCATTACTTAGGCATCTTAGTGGAGAGGCTTTTTATTTTTTTAAAGTGACTGTGAATCTCAAAGCCCCTGCTTTGGGTAATGGCAGAACAGTGGTCCCCAGTGGCTGGTGAGTTAAATGATCTAGAGTCCTAAGGTTAAAGGACATTTCCTCCCTGAGGTCTTTGTGAAGCACTTGGTCTTTGATTTGCTCTCCATTAAGTGGTCTCTTGTCTGAGCTCATCTGCAGGACCACGGCTTCTCTCATGCCCCATGTGGGTGCTCTTCTGGTTGTTGTGGTTTTATTGGTTTATCTACTTGACATAAGCCACATGAGACAGGGGAATCTTAAATGAGAAGACACGGCCATAAGATTGACCCATAGGCAGGTCTGTGGGGTAGCATCTTGACTGATGACCAGTGTGGGAGTGCTCAGCCCACTGTAGTGTTGCCACCACTGGGAAGTTGGTCATGAAAGCAAACTGAGCAAGTCAGAAGGAACAGTCCAGCAAGTGTTCCTCTATGGCTCTGCTTCAGCTCCTACCTCCAGGTTCCTGCCCTGACTTCCTTCAGTGACGGAGAGTGACCTGAGAGTTGTAAGATGAACTAAAGCACCCTAAGTCAGTGTTCATGGTTGTGAAGACACACCAGGACCATGGCAGCGCTTATACAAAAAAAAGCATTTAATTGGGGCTGGCTCACAGTTAGTCCATTATTCTCAAGGTGGGGAGCGTAGAGGCATGCAGATGTGTATGTGCTGGAGAAGTAGCTGAGAATTCCACATCTGGATCCATGGGCAGCAGGGAGAGATCGAGAGAGACACTGTGCCTGGCTTAGGCTTTTGAAAACTCAAAGCCCACCCCCAGTGACACACTTTCTCCAACAAGGCCACACCTCCCCTAACAAGGCCACACCTCCCCTAACAAGGCCACACCTCCTAATCCTTATCAAATAATGTCACTCCCTGGTGACTAAGAATTAAAATATATGAATCTATGGGGCCATTTTTGTTCAAAACACCATGCTCCCAAAGTTGCTTTTGGTCATGGTGTTTTATCACAGCAATGGAAACCCCAAGACAGACGCTAACTGAAAGCATGGCATGATGGCTGGTACTGTGTCTAAGTGCTTCAGTCTAGGGAGCTTAGCCTGGGGTCAGGGTCTTGTTCACAGTCAGATCTGTTGCCCTTCTCTCTTCCCATCCAAGTGTAGTTCTGCAGGGATGTGTCAGCCAGTGAGGGCAGCAGGCGAGATCTCGGACAATAAGAGCACCCTTGAGTCTGGCCTCAAGAACACTGTACCTAAAACTCATCTCTTGTTGACTTGGAACAGTGTTTCCCGTTTCAAAATTCCCCCTTGACACAGATAAGGGGAACATTGGGGAAGAGACATGATCAAAACATTGATGTCACAAACCAGTGTCTGGCTTCACGCAAGACAGCTCAAACGAAGGACATTGGATCTGAGTTTCTAAGGGGAATCCAGACCTCTGGGGGGTTGGGGGTGGGGCGTTCATACGTATACAGCAGTGTCCCTGGAAGATTTAGATGGGGTGTGGATTTAGATTTAGCTGCTATTAGAAGTTGCTTTCAGGGCCAGTTGACAATCCCACAGCATAGTCAGAGTAAGTTTGAGAAGCCAGTGGAGGAAGAGACTGTTAGCAGAAGACTCTAGGGCCTCTCCCATCACACACAAGCCATTTGGGGGTAACTGTAGACAGTGACTACTAAAGCATCACCAAAAAATTCATTAAATGACGCTAAAAGCTCATTGGCTGGGAGCAAGGCTAGTACGTGAACGTCTACGTGATGCTAAGTATCACTCTCCTTTAAATGTTTCTCCCACTCATCTTGTCTTATTAGCGTTTGCTGGGGATCACTGAGTTAGGGCAGCCCTATAGCTCTCTATGCTGTTAGCCTCTTGATCTTTCACAGCCAACCTCAAGCATACTGTCTAACCCTTTTGAGACAGGCTCTCTCATTGGTTTGGAGTTCACCAATTAGGCTAGACTGACTGGCCAGCAAGTCCAAGGGACTCTCTCTCCTCTTTCCACCTCCCGATCTCTGGCATTGTAACTACTCACCATGCCCAGTATTTTAACATAGGCTGGGATCAAACTCAGGTCCCCATGCTTGAGAAGTAAGTGGTTCACTGACTGAACCATCTCCTCCTGCCCCCATTAGAATATCCTGCTAGAGTATAGTGTTGCTCTCGTGTGTGTATATCAGTGTAATAACCCATGTTTAGTAAATACTTAAACCAATGAGTTCCACAGGGCTTGTCTTTTCATAGAAACCAATTAAGTTACAAGAGCCTTATCTCCATTATGGGAGGTCATGCCAGTTACCAAGGCTGTCAGGGTCACTTGCTTGGTCACACTTAGCGGAAGTGACCAAGGACACAGCACCTTGGGAACAGTCTAAGAACACTTAGCTTTACTAACAACTGGGTAGAAGGTGGTTTTTGGAGACAAGGTCTCACTGTGTAGCCTTAGCTGGCCTGGGATTCTTTGTGAACTAGGCTGGCCTCAAGTTCATAGAGATTGCCTGCCTCTGCCTCCAGTGGAATCAAAGACACCTGCCATGGTGTTCAGCATTTCACTTGTATGTGGTGTGTAGAACGCACTTTGACACTCTGGATCTGGCCTGCCCAATGCTTGCTCACTTGAATTTTTAATGGTAATTGACTAAATGAAATCCAAATTAAATAATGGGTCTAGCATTTCAAACACAAATCACTACACCTGAAATGGTATCTATAAAATTGCTCTCTGTGTGTGATGAATTACCATACCCTATCACTTGAAACATCATCGTAACATTGCAAAATCACCTGTCTTTGCACTTCTAAGTCTTTGGCCCTGGATAGTAGTATCACATTAAATGTTTTTCAGAAGTTGGATGGGCATTCTAAAAGTTAGTGGTTTCTGCTTTGTTCTTCAGGACAGAAGAACATTCCATGTTCTGCACTGCTGGCAACTTCTCTGGACATATGAGGTACTGTCAAATCAAATGCACAAGAATGTGGCATTCCTATCTGAAAGTAACAGGGAGAAAAATGCAGAGGAGCTGATAAGAGCCATAACCTTTCCCAGAGAGGAATCATAAGGTGGGCTCTGGCCTGCAAAAGCTATTTATTGCACTATCTAATGGCCAGCCTACTCCTAACTCGGGATGATGCTTGGTACTGACACCATTTCCCATGTTCCAATTGGTTTCTCTTAGGGAGCTAGAAGCACACTCACTCGCTGACAGCCACTGGTACTGACAAACTCTCTGCATAATGGAGAGCAGCCTGAAGAATGTTCTGGTGGTTTCTTGCGGATTCCTCCTGCTCTTCATTGCTTACGGGGGTCTGCAGAATCTGCAGGTGAGATGTACCTCTCATGTTGTCCCCCTCTCACCAGCACACCCCACACACCGGCACACCTGGGGCTAGAAGGAAGTTGGCAGAGGGCTGACAGGACACTGCCTTTGAGTGGCTTTGTGGTTGGGCAGATACGTGAGTTTGCCGATCCTCACTTGACCTTACAAAAGCTTTATGTGAATCATGAACTTTGACAAAGTCGGCTGCAATTGGAATGTTTATGGAATCCTTCCTGCTCAAGTCTGAGTCTACATGAAAACCAAGCAGCTATCGCCAAGAGGTTTGTGGGTCATGTGCTTCTAGGTCACGTGCTTCTAGCTCATGCAGGCCTGGGGAAGATTTGACAGCTTTTCCTGTGGTAATTACAGTAAAAACAGAGCCAATCTCTTCCTCCTTTCCTCTCTCCCTCCCTCCTCTCTCTGTCTGTCTCTGTCTGTCTCTGTCTCTCTCTTTCATCTGTCTATCTCTTGGTCTCTCTTCCTCTCTTTCTCTTCCTTCCTTCCTTTCTTTCTTTCTTTCTTCCTTCCTTTCTATTTTTTTTTTATATTTTTTTTTTTATGTATCTGAGTACACTGTAGCTGGCTTCAGACACACCAGAAGAGAGAATCGGATCCCATTACAGATGGTTGTGAGCCACCATGTGGTTGCTGGGAATTGAACTCAGGACCTCTGGAAGAGCAGTCAATGCTCTTAGCCACTGAGCTATCTCTCCAGCCCCTCCCCCTTTCTTTCTTTCTTTCTTTCTTTCTTTCTTTCTTTCTTTCTTTCTTTCTTTCTTTCTCTCACCCTCTC